CGGCCGTTACAGTACGTTTGAGTTCTATGAAGGAATGAGGAGGTAAGGCATGAGGTAGGGCGTAGAAAAGAAAAGAATCCTTCACTCTTAAAACTTGAGGCAGATACAATATACAAACAAGCCAAAAGTCGAGCCAGAGCCACTTAGCGGCAAGCAAAGGTTCAGTAGCGTAAAACAGACACAAAATAAAGACTAAAACAACACTAAACGGCATGACAGCCGGTTAGTGTATCGACTGCCATCGCTGAGCTTTAAACATTTAGCCGGGCAGCAGCTAGTAAATGAAACACACTTTGATTAAATAAACTTTATCCTCTCAGCACTTCTGTCCTGAGGGCCGACTGAGCGATTTTCGCGGGTGGTTGGAAAACGGGGTGTTGTTTTAGAACTGTGAAATTTTCGCCACGGAAAAATGTCAGAGCAGAAACTCGGAACTCCTGATTGATTCTGTGCGAAAAGTTCTAGACCTGTCACACTGAAAGCATATAGGTTAACAGTTAACGATCAGACCTTGAACAAAGACATGTATGTTAGGTAACAGCCCCTCGCCACAGGAGTGAATAGGAAGGACAGACTGTAAGGGATGTAGCACAACCTGTTACAGTGTATGCACATCATGTAACGAGTTCCACACCCCAGTGCTGCTCAGACACAGTTATTAGTTGTAGGAAATAGAGTTAGCTAATGCCCAGATTTCAGTGGACCCTTATGAGGGCTACAGCCATGTTTGCCACTGAAATAGTTGACTTTAATGATTTTAGTGTAGAACTGCTCGCGACCACTCTCACTGGAAGGAGTCAGTTGCCATAGTTTTAACACACTTTGTTCTTGTAGTTGCTAAGTATAGGATTCAACACTGTTTGAGCCTTGCTAAAGCATAAAGTGACTGTGGACCGGGCGCTGTGGTCAAGGCAGAGCGGGTTGTCCCCCAATCAGAAGTTGTTGTTCGATCCCCGGCTCCTCCTGCCACGGCTGTAAGGATCCTTGAGCAAGATACTGAACCCCAAATTGCTCCCGATGCATAGCCATCGGTGTGTGATCGGTATATGAGTTAGTTTCTGTTCGATGGACTTTGCATCGCTGTGTGAATGTGGTGAAAGGGTGAATGTGGCACGTAGTGTAAAAGCGCTTTGAGTGGCGAAGACTAGAAAGGCGCTATACAGAGTAACAGGTTCCATTTACATCCAAGGTCCATTTACCATCCATTTACTGTTCAAGTGGCCACAGAATCAACTCAAACTCATGTAATATCACCTTGGTATGAGCCTGAGCCAATTTTTATTCATCCAACTTCATTTCTATCACCAGTTATTGCAATGTTACCTCACTTAAGAAGGAAAAATATCTCAAGCAAGCATAAAAATATTCTTAAGAAATATAAATATCGTCAATTTCTTCCATTTTAGTTCAAATGTATTATTCATTATATAATAGTTTGCATGAAATTACTTGGATGGATAGCCTGCAGTTGTTTTAATTGCAAGGCGTAAATTCCCTGTGGACAAGAGTTCTGTTTTTTTTGTCACCAGTATTATACAAGCACAGAAGCATATAAATGGAGTTCAGCACCTGGAGCGGTCGTCAAGTCTTTTGTTGATGTTCCCACATTCAGCTCCTTAAGTTGTTTACTTATGTAACGTTTCATTCAGCCGGGGATGTGGGTAACCTTGACAGAGGGGTAATGGCACATGAAAAACACTCAGTGCAGACTTGGATTTATTAAAAAAGGTTTCGTTGGACTAAAGGGAGATAGACACTACAGCGGTTCTTTTTTTGACTGAGAACAGAATGTTATTTAGTGTAGTCAGTAGGCGGATGGGTTATTACATAAACACCCAAACAGTTATATGTGGGAGTTGTGCCTGTTGGTTCTAAATGAAGAACGTTTTCATCATGAGGCAAACTTTACTTGTTTTAAAACCATTATTCCTGCCAGAAAAATAAATAACAGAAACACCCACATTGTATGTGTCACAATACATTTATTTCCTGGGAGCTGACCAGTACAAACACAGAGAGGCTCTACTGGAACAGAGGCAGGGTACTGAGTGCCTTGCTCACTGACAATTCAACAGTAGTTGCTTATGAAGGGGAGAAAGCTCTATTTTATTTCATGTTCACTATGAGGGCAGTCAGGAAATCTCTCTCTTCTCTGAAAACACAGCAGTTGCATTCCATATAAATCATAGATGCACCCAGAGTAATAACCAGCTCCCTCCCTACGCTACTGCGGTTGCCCAGCTGTTACCTTTGATGAATTGTTGTTCGAATATTCTGAAACTGAATCTTCTACTGGTGCAGAAAAACAAGTTATTTTTGTTGGACCAAAGTTCACCGGTGTTGCGGAATGTGTAAAATTCATATTGTACAGGAAATTAAAACCTGCACACTGGTTCATCCGGTGGCCCAGCTCTATGTCAATATAGTGTTAACTTCTCTGTCTGCAGGGTCTTGAAAAAATCAGATTAGTATTCCATCTCGCTTTTAAATGTGTTTTGGAAAAAAAACTTTTGATCATGCTGCAACAACTACAAAACCGATATGAAATCAATTCAGATTTTCCTTCATATCCTTTGTACTTTTGTTGCCAGTATAAACATGAATTTATTTAATTCCTTCAAATCTACATATATTATATGAGTCTGTACAGATATGGATGTAAACTGCAACAACCAGTAATTTGAGATTTCCCGCATTGTACAACTGCTGTGAAATGCTTACATCCTTATTATAACAAATCTGAAGGTGATCCAGGATTTGCAGGATAATTGTTGGATACTGAAGCATGTAAACAGTTTGTGCCATTGCTGTTGGTTTTTTATTCATCAGTGTTATTTCATTCTCATGGTAATATCCAGAATATTTAGCTTATTCACTTCAGAAGGGGTCTTTGTGATAGAGGTGTGCTGATGCATACATAGAGCTCATCCAAAGTGTAACCTTAGAATATTCACTGCATGGAAACACACCCAAGGACTTTTTGTTTCTGTGGTTCACCTGGAGTCTCAAGCCAGTTTACTTTCATCTTCCCGTCTCTGTGACATTGTGTCTAGACAAAACTGACCGAGAAGCACAGAGTCCGTAAATTGTCTGGATTCACAGATGGATGTAAAAAGGCCGTCCTGGTCTGAGAGCTAGAAGTTTGTCATAATTTGACACGTGACCTTTTCCCTCCACAGACTCACACTTTATTCTCACTGCTGGGGCTAAGTCATGCTTATGTGACCAGTATCGGCAAACTGGTAGGAGTAGTGGCGCTGAAAGAGGTAAGAAACTTCACTTCCGCCTGTGTGAGTGTTTTATATATATTTTTATTATTTTTATTTTATTTTTTTTAATCTCTGCCTGATGAAGGTCTCCTGGAACCAAAAGGTAAGCAGTAAATTTGATGAAATTCCCATTGATCAAAGTCCAAAAAAGCCTTCTTCCTTTTTTAATACACTCAACTTTTAGAAGTCTTGCCTTGTCTGTCTTGACATTGAAGGAAACAAAATCAAATTGTTTTTTGTTCCTGATTTGCTTGGAGTTTCATAAAGCTTTTTGAATTATGTATGAGTGTTTTGTTAGTATAATCAATATCCTCTTTGTATGTTTCAGGCTTTCTTTGATGTATTTCATTAATTCTGTCATTACCTATTATTGTCACTCCTCCATCCATAAACCTTTTTTCTTTATGCTTTTCTTAATTTATCCATCCTATCACTCCTCAATCTCTCTATCTTATTGTTGTTTCTTGCTAGCCACCATTTTTTCACTCACTATCCATTTCTTTCTTTTCCTTTATTGTTTTATTCTTTGTTCTTATCTGTCTTTTTCTTTCTACTCATACTTATCTTTCTACTTTAATTTTTCCTTTTGTCTCTCCTTTTCCATTCCTCTTTATTCCTCCACCACTGTATCTCCTCATCCTTTCCTTCCTCCTCCTCCTCCTCCTCCAGCTCCAGAAGGCCATCGAGGGCTCCACGCGCTCTGGTGTCCGGCTCCGTCCTCCGCTCGCCAGCTTCCGCGACATCAGCAAACACAACTCTGTCCCTAAACCTCCACCTTCTTCTCCCACTGCTCCTTCCTCTCCGACCTCCACCTCCTCTCCCTCGACTCCAGCTGCTCCCGAGCCTCCTTCCCTCTCTCCCCCTCACCACCATCATCACCACCACCATCATCACCCTCAGCATCATTGCCAAGAGAATGAAACGGAGGTGTGTATCGAGGGCGTGAAGAGGGAGGTGGAGGAGTGCAGCAGCAGCAGTGTAGGAAGCGGCGGTGGCAGCAGCAGCACTGAGGCCGGCACCTCAACCAGCTACAACAGCAACCTCACTCTCCCTCCCTCCTCCACTCCTCCCCCAGTCCCTTCTTCCTCCACTCCTCCTCCTTCCTCCTCCATCCCTCTCTCCACCCTAAGACCCCTTCAGGGACTCTTTGAGGGGGATGAAGACAGTGATGATGAGCCAATGGTTTAGATTAGACAAGAGTGATGGTTATGTTTTTTATAATGGAAAACTTTTTTAATGGTGTGAGTTTTTTTTTGTTCTTAATGTGTTGCTCTGGTCTTTGGACACCTATTTACCTCTTATTGTCACCACTTAGGTAGAGCAAAGATTTAGAAGCAAACAGTGTGTTTGCTTGAAGCTACGCCAAGCTAGGCATCATTACTTTCTTTTTGTTTTAATACAGTTTATCCCACCTCTACTGTTTCTGTCTGCTACTTATTAATTATACTTATTTTCTTTGCCCTGCTCACCCCAACCTCTTTGTCTTTCCTTAATAAGCTCTGTATGTGTATGTTTTTTTATGTTGTGTTTTTTTTATGCCACACTTACTCTTTCTCATTGACTTTTACATGTACAGACTCAAGGGTTCATCCCATTATGGTTGAATGTTTATGCTAAAGAACTGATTTTTTCCTCCAGGATTATTTTCTTATCCGGGGTGATAGCATTCAAAACAGCTTTAAGACAATTGTGACAATCAAGACTCACAATTGTAACCTTGAAAAACAAAGTGCTTCATTGTTAGTGGACCCTTAGGGCAAGATAACCCACCTGCTAAGTAGTACGGTATATTTTACACATTTTAAATTATGAAGAATTTACTTCGAAATCATTACTGAGGAATACATTTATTATATACTGCTATCATTTACATTGTCCCACTTTGGACTTGGATTAATTAGACACATCTCTGTGTCACCGTTTCCCTCACAACATATGTTGCATCGTTGTGTTTTCATTAACAAAATATGCTGTGTTGAAAAGTAATCCGAACCTGTGCTGCACAAACCAGAAGTGAACCCAGTGAACCTCTGCACAGTAGCCTTGTGTTACCTGATCGGTTATGTGTCTTTAAAAACGTTTTTTATCAGATGAGAGCAGAAGATATTGATTTTTTTATCTGGCAACAGACCATCTGGATAGACAGTAGACTAATGGAGCTGCTCAGTCCACTGTGGAAGATTGGTTAGAGCCCCAAAACGACCTCCAAATTGTGTGCTGACCTTGTGGATGCAGCCTCAGAGCTCATCTCATCACGCTTAAGTTGATAGATGGTGCAGCTAAAGACGGCTGACGACAGCCCAATCCCCCGCTGCACGAGTCCTGGAGGGTTTTTCATTTTTTTTTTCATTTTCCCTAACAAGCATGCCTTCCAGATTTAGCAAAAATCACACATGACTACTTTACTTATGATTAGAAGCTTTTCATTCCAAATTGTGACATTCATCGTGCAACAGCGACAATAACAAAGTGATGGCAGACATTTTGTCACATAATATCTATATGTTAAACGAAGATGAAGAAGTTTGCTTAGAGAGAAACAATTTAATTACATGCTCGTGAGAACAGAGAGACTCAACTATACCAGTTCATGAACAGCTATACAAATTGAAACAATTCTCTAAAAGAGGCTCAAAGCTGTGTAGAGGTTCAGAGTTGGGTGTTATTTCCTGTCGCGTTCAGCAGTATAAGTGGGACTTTATTCAATGTTCATATCAAAACTCACACAATGGAACTTTAAACCTAAAGTCGCAAAATCACTGGTCACCCAGTACACTTTAGCCTCTTGGTCCACATCTAAATAAACTTTTATTTCTTAACATATACAAAATGAAATCCTCACAGTGAACAGTGAACTGCCTTATTAAACTCTGTTACAGCCAATGATACTGTACAAAAAACTAAATGTAATTAAATCTGAAGAGCTGCTCAGTGACTACTTAATAATTGCATTTATGTGTTGTTGAACTTTTCTCCTTGTGATGTACCCGTCCTTTTCATTTATCACTCCATCTCTTCTTACTCTTCTTATCTCCTGGATTCAGTTTCTCAGGTGCTGCCTTAAAAGTCTTTAAAGCTGCAGATCTAACAAAAAGCTTTGTCTTTATGTCTGTGTGGATTAAAGTGTGTGTGTCTGTTTCTTAAAGGGGCTCTGTACTGGTCTAAGTGCTAATTGCCTTTGTCCGTCTGTGGTTGTGGTTAATGTTTCTATTTATCTTTTAGTAGAGTCAAATGTAAAAATTTATAAAACTGTGAAATATGTAGCAAAATAAAGTTTTATTAAGTGAAATGCTTTGTTTGCCCTCGTGTTTAAATTTGACCTTTATTTATACAAGTCAGGCACATTGTAAGGGCAGACGAGGCAAGGGGAAAGGCAGCACATTTTAACTACAGACAGAAAGAAAAGTTTCATCTTTACTCAGTCACTTGGACCAAGAACTGAACTCAGTCAAGGTAGGACAGAAATATAGATTTTTGTGTTAGAAATCATGACAATACCAGAAAGCTTCATCAGATTTCCAGTTGGCTGGATCATTTTTGAGATACTGTAGTTTCATTACTTCTCTGATTAAATGAAATATCCCAACAATCAGTCAGATTTTGATAATTTTTTAAAGTATAGCTTTAAAAAAAACACTCTACATCAGGGTATCCACAAGGTCCCTCTAAAGTCTAAAATCCAATAATCTGAATTTCAGGCATTAAAATGTCTTAAATATGATAATTTAACCGACATAGAACCAATACCGATTTTCCTTCATGTCCTTTGTGCTTTTTTTGCCAGTATGAATGTAAAAATAGGTATTAAATTGCATTCCTAATGGTCTCAAAAAGGTCTTTTGTATTAAATTCCACCCGTTGAATCCTGCAGAAACACTCCACATTCTCAGTATAACGACTAAATAAACCTGATTGTAAATTGTGTAAATTGTATTTAAATTAGCAACCTAAGCACATTTAATTGACTGTCATTAAACCTATTTTAGGATTTTTGTATCTACCTGTGGTTTCTTACCTTAATTGCCTTTTTTCAACGTAATTTTGTTCGAGTATGTGTCACTTATTCAGGAAATGTCATTTTGAAATGAAAGTCATTTTACTCATTTAGTCAGTGCTCTTCTGCAGACCTCTGTGCAGTGAGGGATTTGAAATGATCTCATTTAGGAAGAAAACTTTTCTATTACCTGGCATGGACTCTACAGAAGCAATTAAAGTGGCTGAACACCAGTGCAATTATACAGCATGACTGACATCTCAGTTATTTAAATCTGGAAAAAAAAATCCATAGTAAGTTTCACTTCCACTGAAAAAGCACTAACTTCAATGTTGCGGCGTCCCTCATTTCCTACAGTGGGGTGTCACTTTTTTTAAACTTGCACTCTTCAGATGGGATCTGAGCCTCGTGTGCTTGGACACTGAACAATTTACAGGACGACATCTCTGAGCAACAAGAGGACAGACAGAGGACAGATGATTATCGCAGCGCTCAGGGGCATCGTGGGTCTTGATCACTGGATTGTGAGAGTGAATACTCCTCTCCACCAGCTGTAGGTCGAATCTTTTAGAAGAGATTATGTTAAGTGATGTCACAGTAATGCTTGATTCCTTTGTATGTTTCACACACACACACACACACACACACACACACATAAAGTTGTAAAATACCTTTTAGTTTTTTTCTCTGACCTTCCCAGACATTGTCATACTTCTGTCTCATTTCCAGTCTTTGAAGTCACAACACCATTTTTAACTGCCGTTTGACTAAAGGATGTTGCTTTCAAGGACTTTCTTATTGTGAAGCATTCATTTGTGTATTAATATGTACTTTGACATTTTTGAGATAGTTAATAAACCTTCATTGAAAAACCTTAATTAACAAAAACAAACCGCTTGCCACTGACTTTGTGAAATGAAAACACAACAGCCAAACACACACACACAGAGAAAGCCTTCAAACAAACCTGGATAACAGCACTTGAACGTACAAGGGCACATCTCTGCCTCCAGACCATGACGAACTCTGTATGGCCCGGTTTAATGAATGAGGCGGCTGTGATCAGAACAGTTCAAGTGTTTTAGTGAAATTGATGACTACACGGAAACCACAACCGCTTATTGGAGAACACGTGACCTTCACACTGCAGCTTGAAGAATCTACAGCATTAAGGTCATACCTGCTCTTTGCATTTCATCTTTTTAGAACTTATTTGATTTAATTTATTTTTTACCACCAGAGTTTAAAAAAAAAATGGAAAAAGTGACATTAGACTTTCAAGACTAGACAAGACAAGACAAGAAATACGATAACTAAAGGGATTTAAGCCTAGGCACACAGGAGAATGTGTCGGGTGAGTCTTCCTGTGGAGTCCCAGTATTAATGGTAAATGATGTTTTGACCTATCATTAGGCCCTGCAGTGAGTATCAGCCTGTGGCGCCATAAATCTACTGACCCTACCTTACCCTGACCTCATGTACCTTTAAGCTGCCTCTAAATCCTTCACTCACCTGAGCAAAGAGCAGATACTGTGCAGATTGACCCGACCTTACTGTATATCTTCATTATATCCGCTTAGGCTGAAATACAGCTGCCAGGCTTACAAATATCCACTAGTTAGCAACCCATATGGTATATACAGTAGTTGATGTGAGGGCATTTTCTTCTGGACCTCAGTTCTTAAAGGCTTACATCTTGAAAAGCTGTATGGTTAAGATTTGGTTTTGCGGGCAACCTTACAATAAAATTAAGTATAGAAGGAATTAAGTTTTTAGTTAGGTATGTTAGAGGTCAGGAAATACATTATATTAGTTTAAGCTTGAGACAAATGTGTGTGTATATGTATCTGTGTGCACTTTAGCAACAGAACAGCACCAAGAAGAATCCGTTTCCCAGAATATATATATTTTACACACAAAGCTACATTCATACAAACATACATACATACATACATACTATACATACATAGACACATTGAATTCAGTTTATTCGTTATAGAAAGCACTACAC